GAGAGAGAGAGAGAGAGAGAGAGAGAGAGAGAGAGAGAGAGAGAGAGAGAGAGAGAGAGAGAGAGAGAGAGAGAGAGAGAGAGAGATCAAACACCAAATTCTGTAGCAAGACCTTCAAGGGTCCGATCGACATGATATCTTTCAATTGGATGAATTAGTAAAGAAAGGGAGGATAATGCCTAGCTGCTCTCCATACGGCACACTGGCCCTGTTCACACCTAAGAAAGAAGAAGTACTGAGGCTGTGCATCAGTTATAGAGCTTGAACTGCATAATTGTAAAGAACATCGGACTACTATGGGATCGGCAACTTTCTAGATCGACTACAGGGTTGCCAATTCTTTTCTAAGTTAGATTTGAAATCAGGGTATCATCAGGTTGAGGGCGCAGCATGGCCGGGAGCGCTGCGTCCCCTGTGGTACAGTTGTGCGCCGCACGCGCGGTTTGGTTGGAGCTTATTCGAGGCGGCACGGCAGGTGAGCTAGCGGGACGTGCGAGGGCGGGGCGTGGTAACAAGTGGTGAGGGTGCAATGATGATGATGCAGGGTGTGGGACGACGAGCCGTAAGCATGGGGTGATGGTGGAAGGCCGGTTGAGGTTGATGGGTGCGTGGGTCGGAGATGGTGAAAGGCTTGGAAAGGTCGGCAGGGTATAGACTGGCTGTGTCGTCGTGGGTGATTGTTAGCATTGCTGCCTTGCTGTTCGGGAGGAGGGACACTGTTGAGAAGGGAGGGAGTGGAGAAGGGGAGGTTGTGCTTTTCCATTCAGCCCTTCTTTTCAGCGGTCTTCGTGCCACTTGGCAATTATGGGTTCGAATATTCGGATTCGTTCTCTAGGCAGATGAGATGTTCAAAAGCTCACCATCACCACCAAGCTGTCTTACAGATTCATTGCTGGGACCTTGCAGATGCGCCAGTTCTTCTGGTACCGGACTAACACTGACCCGGTTCAAAGCGCAGTCGTAACTCCGATGATGTTCTTCAGTATTTAACGTGACCGTTTCAGCGTGCTTCATCTGCATTTGGGAGGAGTGTTGTGCATCAGAGAACTTCCGGGTGTACATTTGGCGTCGTGTCAGGCCTCTGATGAGCCGGTGAAATTCCGGCGAAACAAGATTTGGTGCTGTGCGCGGTGGAGTGGATAAGGGAGTCACGGCCCTGGACCAAGCATGAAGATATTTCGAGACTCCTGTGTGGGTGGTAGCGCGCCAGTTCTTCTAGTACCGGACTAACACTGACCCGGTTCAAAGCGCAGTCGTAACTCCGACGATGTTCTTCAGTATTTAACGTGACCGTTTCAGCGTGCTTCATCTGCATTACGGAGGAGTGTTGTGCATCGGAGAACTTCCGGGTGTACATTTGGCGTCGTGTCAGCCCTCTGGTGAGCCAGTGAAATTCCGGCGAAACAAGATTTGGTGCTGTGCGCGGTGGAGTGGATAAGGGAGTCGCGTCCCTGGACCAAGCGTGAAGATATTTCGAGACTCGTGGGTGGGTGGTAGCGCGCCAGTTCTTCTGGTACCGGACTAACACTGACCCGGTTCAAAGCGTAGTCGTAACTCCGACGATGTTCTTCAGTATTTAACGTGTCGTCGTGGGTGATTGTTAGCATTGCTGCCTTGCTGCTCGGGAGGAGGGACACTGTGAGAAGGGAGGGAGTGGAGAAGGGGAGGTTGTGCTTTTCCATTCGGCCCTTCTTTTCAGCGGTCTTCGTGCCACTTGGCAATTATGGGTTCGAATATTCGGATTCAATAGTTGGGACTCGCAACGTGACACAGCTTGGTGGTGATGGTGAGCTTTTGTCACGGTCCGATAATTTCATCGTTCGACCTCATGCTGAGATGGTTGTGTAAGACCAAGACGCGGTCAAAATGCGATGAGTAGCCGATGAAGAGGGAGGTGAGGTTTCGAGGGGAAAGGGAGGCGTTGGTGGATAGGGCGAAGTAGGAAATGCGCTTGGTCTGCCCCGCTGGTGTTGTGTGTCTTCCTGTGATTTTTCATGACTGTTTGTGTTTTTCTATTGTTTTTCTATCATAATATCAGCAGTTTACTATGGGTATTTCGTATGGAATGAGGATGTCTTCTCAAAAACGATCGTAAAACATTTTTCTAATTCGAATTTGGATGGGTGTGTCAGGGTAGCTGTCATCGGCAGGGTATAGACTGGTTGTGTCGTCGTGGGTGATTGTTAGCATTGCTGCCTTGCTGTTCGGGCAGAGGGACACTGTGAGAAGGGAGGGAGTGGAGAACGGGAGGTTGTGCTTTTCCATTCGGCCCTTCTTTTCAACGGTCTTCGTGCCACTTGGCAATTATGGGTTCGAATATTCGGATTCGTTCTCTACGCAGATGAGATGTTCAAGCGCTGATCTTCTCATGGGTTCTGTGATAAGGTGGGTTGGTATTGAGCGTTCCTTTCATTCTTGAGACCGCCTGTGAGGGGCTATTGGCGGGTCAATAGTTGGGACTCGCAACGTGACACAGCTTGGTGGTGATGGTGAGCTTTTGTCACGGTCCGATAATTTCATTGTTCGACCTCATGCTGAGATGGTTGTGTAAGACCAAGACGTGATCGAAATGCGATGAGTAGCTGATGAAGAGGGAGGTGAGGTTTCAAGGGGAAGGGAGGCATTGGTGGATAGGGCGAAGTAGGAAATGTGCTTGTTCTGCCCCGCCGGTGTTGTGTGTCTTCCTGTGATTTTTTATGACTGTTTGTGTTTTTCTATCATAATATCGACAATTTACTATGGGTATTTCGTATGGAATGAGGATGTCTTCTGGAAAACGATCGTAAAACATTTTTCTAATTCGAATTTGGATGGGTGTGTCAGGGTAACTGTTTTGATTGTGAATTCTTGAGTTCATGCTGATCATTCTAGTTTTGAAGTTCTTGAAGTTCAATCTAATTTGCAAAGTAACTCTCTGGAATTTATCTTAAAAGTACAGCTTATTCTCAATTGACGTTCGTAAATCGGAGTTTTGCTAAACGATTCTCCAACGGCGGTTTGAGGATCTGTTTCGAAAATCCCTTTTGGATATCTAAACCTAAAATTCGTGTGTGGTTTTCCCTTGATTCTACATAACTGGTTGGTAGGTTCGTAACTGATTTCCTATTTTGAAACCTGCAGCGTTGTATGCTGAATTTTTGATCTGTTTGTCGTTTGGATAACTTTTTCCTTTTTTTTTTTTTTTTTTTTATAACAAAAACAGGGCCTTATGGTCCTGGCTCCTTTCCATTCTGGGGACCATCAGTTCGGTTCCTATTCCACCGGCAACTCAGAAGAGATATTACAATAAGAACCACCCACGGGGCCGAAGGACCCCTGAGCAGCATTGATTGCTCCACCTTCGTGGAGGATTGACTGCCATCTTGCCATGCCTCACGGTTTCCTTTCAGACGTGATAACCAGATCTGCCAGATAGATCCATGCCACCTAGAAAGAGCTCACCCATTGTCCAAGCTAGCCTTTGTACCCCCACTTACCCGTCCTGCCCGTGAGCCACAATACCCTCAGTCCCACCTTACCTTCCCCTTTTTTTTTAAATGATCACTAAAACCCTAAACTCTAATTCTCTGAACCCTCATCCAGAAACCATTGTCCGAACTTCCGCAACTCTTCGACTCCCCGCCTGAGCTGGGTCTTACAGATTCATTGTTGGGACCTTGCAGATGCGCCAGTTCTTGCAGTTGTTTTCTAAGTTCCTCAAGTTCCCTAGGAGACATCCGATAGATGGGACCCTTGGGAATCTTACTACCGGGAAAGATCTCAATGGTGTGCTTGATAGAACGCTCAGTGATTTCCGTTGGCTCAGTCTACACGTCCTTATACTCTACGAGAATCTTCTCAATAGAAGGAGGATAGGATGAGGAACACTCACCTGTTTGCTTAAAAAGCACCATCATCACATCCTGATCCAATTTCTTCTTTGAGACCATAGATTTGAAGGTTGGATAACTCATATAGCAAAACGACAAGTTTGAGTCAAATCCAGACTTATGATACAATTTGATTATTTTCATTTCGGATTCTTCATCCTTTAGTTTGACAACCTTTTTTTTAAACCTGACTTCTGGGTCGGCTTCCTCGTGCTAGTCCATTCCTAGAATCATATCAAAAGGCAGGTTCTTTTCAATTAGGAAGGATACTTCGTGTCAAATCTTTTTTCCTTCCTTAGTCTTGAAGTAACATTTCACACGATCGACGTATTGAGAGACAATGATTGTGCTCTTGTCGGCCAACATAGACATGATAGGTCTAGGTAAATCTTTTACCTTCATTCCTAGATGCAATTTACGAAGTGCCTTCTCTGAGACGTAGGACCGCATCGATCCTGGATCTAACCAGGCACCTACTTGCGTACGTGCAATCTCAATGTCCACGATCATTAACTCACCCTTAGATCGAGCTTTCTTAGCCCACAAAAATCTTAAGGCTATTAGTTCATTACCAAGTTCGTCAAGGGAATCGTCCAGAGAGACAGAGCATAAGACAGTTTAAGAGTGTTCTGGATGATGGGCCGCAGAAGAGCCATCCTTTACCATGTGAGTCAAGGGGTTGAAAGGGATAATTGGCGCCTTACCTTTATTCGAACCCCTCAACTCAGTAGATCTGCTACTCCTACTGGCTGGTCACTTTTGGGTTACGGATTAATGGGCACCATGCTATCATGTGCCCCACAGTGCCACACTTAAGGCACTGACGGTTATCCATACGTTCCTGCCACTATTCCCTTGACAGACCCATATTTTTCCAAGGTTTCCCTAGCGTGATGCCGGTATGCTCAGGAAATGAGCATGGCCTCCTCTTCTTCTTCCACTAATTGGTGCCACCCTTGTTGGCCACCACGGCAACAACATCACCCTTTCCAGACTCCCTGCCGTCATTACCTCCTCCCTCAGACTCGTCGTGGGGTAACTTCTCCACGGTGTCATCATCAAAAACAACAAGCATATGGTCCTGGCGCTTTTGCCGCCACAGAACCCTTTTGCCATACCCACCTACCGTACCAAACTTCACGACAGAAGCATAAGTTCCTTTTACATGAGTTGTCATTTGCTCCCTTTGGAGCGCGAGATCATGGCGTTGTCGATAGTTGTACTTACCGGACTTGGCTTCAGCCACGAGATGACCTCGGATGGGTTCATGCAGAGCACGCGAGAAGATGTAGAGGACTTGATTGTCCTGCAGGTTCAGTCCTGGTACCTGTAACAAACGATCAACCTCATGTGACAATGTACCAGCAGAGGTCCAACGCTTTTGGCCTATAGTGGTGAGTTCATCGAAGGCCTTGTTGGTCGCAGTCTTGTCTAGGAATCTCTCCTCGATCTTTTGGAGAAATTCCCGGAGGGTCAATGTTTTTGCCCACTCACCTATATCCTCGAAGCCGGCAGCGTTGGCCTCGGACAGTACCCATTCCTTGGCTGTCTCACAAAGACAAGCCGTCGTGAAAGCCACTTGGCTTTCTGGCTCTACTGGTGCAGTCCCACAATAGGTCTGGATCTTAGCGATCCAGAGCAATAAATGCTCGCCCCTCTTTCCATTGTAAGTAAAAGGTAATTTAATTTTGACCTTTTCCTTTCTTTTCAGCTTCTCCACTTCTTTGGCCGGTTCCTTCGTGGGTTCCACTTTCTTCTCCGCTGGTTTCTTATGTTCTTTCTTAGAACTCCTGGGTTTCTCCGGCGTCACCCTTGTGCTCTTTATTGCATCCTTCATAAACTTCTCTTTGGGTTCCTTTCTTTCTTCCCCCCTGGCCACCTCCTCTATCACCACCAATCTAGTCATGGTCTCAATAGCGGTGGTGTTACTGACAATCTTCAATTCAAGATGCGCAAGGTAAGTCGTCAAATTATTCAGAATGGATGCAAGGTCGGTCTCTGTTCCTTCAAAGTGAAATTGTTATCTGATTTCACCATTTTTTCTCTCTTGCTGTTCTTTCTCCATTTTCCACTCTTCGGTATTCTTCTATTTTTTTCTTCTCTACATTCAAGGTTTTTTCCAATTGTTTGATGTTGGCCATCATAATCTCTTTAGAGAATTTTGGTTCTTCCCTCTTTTCTTCCTTCTTTTCCTCTTCTTCTTTGGACACGTTACCGGCAATCTTAGCCAGCTGCTCGACAACATATTGATCGAGGGACATTCGGCCCCGATCAATAGTTTGATGCACTCTACCACTTGTGCAAGGAAGATGAGCGATAGCGAACTTCAGAAATCAAACAGTATCATACACATAAGACCAGATAGTCGTGACCTCGAACCAAAAACAGAATTGCATCACAAGTCTTCACCAAATAAGAACACACCAAGAGCTCATAATTGACAATGCTGAAATAGTCTCATCATCATCATCAACGAAGAACCAATGTTGATATCCTATCTGGCGCTCGGTGCCCAGACTACAGATGGCAGATCCTATCTAGCCTACTCTACAATGCCACCGGATGACGTCAACAACTTCACCGAAGTACGAGCAGATCTTGGACAATGTCGTCGCGTCTAGCACCAGGTATGTGTCTCGTATCACTCTCAACCTCGTTCCCCAACACACAGATGCCACATGCACCCAAGGACCACCCTACGCCACACCCAGCTCACAGCAGCGCAGCTCGGCTATGGCTGCCTGCTCCTCCCTGCTCGCCCGTGAGCGCGTGAGCGCTAGCCAGCTTCAGCGCAGCAGCGCTTGCGCAGCATGCAACCAACACCCGAATGCCAAATGTGGAGGCAGGCCCTTTGCTATATGGAAGTGGCCTGCCTGCCTTCTGTCCCAGGCTGCGCTGGACCTTTTCCAAGAAGCTTTTGGTAGGCCCCGGTAGGCTGAGGCCCCGTCCAAACGAATCAGGCCCAAGGCCTGTGGTGGTTACTTGTGCCCAACTGTCCTCGGCCCGTGTTTGGCCCATATCCCGTATCCAGCCCAGGGCCTGCTTTCCATACATGCAAACAAGCGGCCTGGTTCAACCAACTGGCGCTGCGCAACTGCCTGAATTTTCCACAGTTGTGTGGTGACCGAGATAGGGGCCCTCAGGCCCTCGTCGAGCCTGCCTTCACTTAGGGCGGCCGACGTGCTGCATAACAGGGCCAAAAAGGGGCTCATCGGGGCCTTGGCCTCGCATTCCCTCCTCCATAACTTTGATAGTCCTCTGAGAAGTTCAGTCTTCAATAATTTGGCGCTTTCCCTTCTGTAGAGACTTTTCATATTGGGCAACAACCTGAGGAGCGGTCTGCATCAGTTCCTCCCTGGTGAACCATCAATCCTCCTTTGGATCCGTGTGATGTCTGAACCGAACCCGGTATTGCAGCTTTGGTTTCGGAGGATGTCCCCTGCCTGTCGGTCTTGGAACTGGCATTTCCTTACGGTCGACGATGTCATCGATGTCGACCTCTCCATCCATGGTTGGGGGCAGCATTGAGCGACGAGAGGGAAACCGATCAATTTCCTTGAAAGGTGCAAGCTTAGAAGAGTGAAAGACAGGATAAGTGTGGAGATGACCAGGGATCCGGATTACATAAGACGGTCCATCCGAATCAGTCTCGACGATGTCTAAGACCTCCCATGGTCCGAAGTACTGAGGCATGAGCTTGCGGGAGATCTCGTGCTCCTGTCCCAGTTCTGAGGACTTAACCCAGACTCTGTCCCCAACCTGAAATGTAGACGGGCGGCGGTGCCTGTTTTCATATTCTATCATTGTCGCCTGTGCCTTTTGCTGTTCTACTGCCTGCTGCATTTTCTGTTCGTAGCGATAAGCAAATTCTAAGGTACCCGGTGCAGCAGTTGGCTGGTTCTCAGGAAGTAGAAAATCTAAGGGCAGTCTAGGCTTGAAGGTCAGTAATAAGCTGGTTGGGCTCACCCCGGTGGCGCTGTGTACAGCGTTATTGTACAAGCTGGCGATGAGAGCAAGCTTCTCACCCCAGTCCACCTGATTGGGCTTGATGTAATGCCGCAACACGTGTTGTACAACACGGTTCAGTTGCTCGGCTTGGCCATTGGCCTCTGGGTGATTCCCAAAAGTCATCTGCAACTGCGTTCCCTGTTCGACAGCGACAGCCTTCCACAACTCACTGGTGAATCTGACATCCCTGTCACTCACGATTGACTTAGGCAGACCAAAATCTCTGACCCAGTTCTCCTTGAACATTCTGATCATGTACTTTGTTTTTGCTGTCTCTGGCATAGCAATTAACCTAGCGTACTTACTAAATCTATCCACAATGACAAAGATGTGTCACATTCCACTCTTGCTGGTGACCAGGGTGTCCATAAAGTCCATGGACAGGCTCTCACCAGGCCTTTCCGGAATCGGAAGGGGCTTGAGGAGCCCAAGAGGGGCCTGTGTACGGGGCTTGTCTCTCTGACAGACCTGAGTCTCCACGTACACCTTACCATCTCTCATCATCATGGGCCACCAGAACTGCTGCAGCAGGTTGGCTGCAGTCTTTTTGAAACCAAAATGGTCGGTGGCATCATGACACTCACCTAAAAATAAACTACGCAAAGACTCTCTATTTGGGACACACAATCGTTTATTCCTTGCCTTCTCAAGGAACAACAAGCCGTTGACCAACTCAAACTCAGCAGAAGTCTTTTTGTCCTTCGCCTCAAGTCTGCGTATGATCTCAGACATGAACTGGTCCTCGCGATAGGCTTCCACCAAAGACTGAGTGACATCGTCCGCAAGCCCGAACTCAGTGATCAGCGCACCAGAGAAATCTGGTCTACTCGCCCTTGATGTACTGGGGCTCAAAGTCATATTGCTCTATGACTTCAATCCAACGCTTCAGAGTGTCGGAGAGCACAGGCTGGGTTCTCATCCACTTCAGGGTCTGGTGATCAGTCCTGACGTAGAAGAACCTCCCAAGGAGGTAGTGCCTCCAATGGGTGCGCCTTGTAGATCGCATAGAGTTCCTTCTCATAGGTGGACTTGGCCAACTTCTGAGACGGCATTTTCTTGGACGTGTACTCCACTGGCCTCAACTTCTTCCCCTCCTGCTGTGCAAGCACGGCGCCTATGCCAAACTGGCTAGCATCCATAGTTACTATAAATGGCTTGTTAGGATCAGGAAGTTTCAAGACCTCATGATGCGTCAACGCATGCTTCAGATGTCTAAAAGCAGCCTCACATCTGTCTGTCCACTCCCATGGGGTGTCAAGGTGTGTCAGGTCAGTCAAAGGGGCGACAACTATGCTATAATTCTTCACGAAGTTGCGATAGTAGCCGGTTATCCCTAGGAAAGACCTCATCTCAGTCACAGACTGAGGACGCGGCCAATCACGAATGCTGGCCACCTTCGCGTCATCGGGCTTTAATCCCTCCGCGGAAATCTCATGACCCAAGTACAAGACACGGGTGCGGCCAAACTCACACTTCTCACCGTTGATCTTGAACTTGTGCTGTCGCAGAAGACTCGGGACTTTATCCAAGTGCGCAACGTGCTCCTCGACGGTCTTACTAAAAATAAGTATGTCATCGAGGTACACGATTTCAAACTTATCCATGTAGTCATGAAATATCCGATTCATAGCGTGCTGAAAGGTGTCAGGAGCATTGCAAAGGCCGAAAGGCATCACCACAAACTCGTACAAACCGTACCTGGTCTGAAAAGCGGTTTTGTGTTGATCCTCAGGCTGGATTGCAATCTGATGGTACCCGGACTTCAGATCTATCTTACTGAAATACCGACACCCTTGCACTCTATCTAGCAAGTCATCGATGCGTGGTAGGGGCTCTCTGTTCTTGACAATGATGGCATTGAGGCCCATATAGTCAATGCACATCCTAAGTGTTCCTTCCTTCTTCTTGGGTACAAATAGGACTGGAGACCCATAAGGAGGAACAATCGGCCGAATCCAACCCTTCTCTACGAGTTCCTTGAGTTGTCGGCGAAGCTCATCGAGCTCGCCTGGAGACATCCGATAGATCCTACCTTTTGGGATACCAGACCCTGGGATAATCTCTATCGCGTGGACGACCTCCTTCTCAACAACCCCTGTCAGCTCTTCAAATAGATCAGGATACTTAGCAACTACTCCCTGTATCTCCGGCAGCATTTTCACCAGCTCGCCTGCAGCAGAGACATAAACTAGATACATACCCTCCTCCTGATTTTGCTTATAATAATTATAGAACGCGGCCGAACACATGCATCCGTGGGACTCAATCAGACTACTAGCTTTGAACTTACGTAATCTTGCGGTCCCTCCACCTGGCAAAGTGTGTTTGACCACTTTTCGGTCCCAGTCAAACTGGGGCTGTGCCACAGAGAGGTAGTGCATACCTAACAACATATCCATGGGGAGTTCATCGTTCACTAGGTCAGTTCCCCTCCCGCGTACGGGAAACAACACTCAACATCTTGGAGGTAGTCATTGACTACCATGCGCTGTTTGTTGGCACAGGTCGACTCCACAGGTCGACTCAGGCGCTGCACTTGCCCCTGTAAGCGCAGCCTCTCAACACACGCGCGACTAATGAAGTTTGTGTCGAGCAAGTGTCATAATAGGCCTCGACCTTGTGGCCGCCAATGACCACCTCGCTGACGAACATCTCACCCTTAGGAGCTTTGACTAGTGTCGTCCAAGAAGCTAGTGGGACTGACCTAGGCCACTCCTCCTCTAGCTCCTCTAAGGACTCAAACACATTCATCGAACAAAGGCTCGGTGGGTCTGAACGTGTTTGCGGGACGACGATGGAGTCTGTAGCTTGGGCCATCTCTCGAGATGGAGGGTGTGTCCACCACCTCGACCCTAGCAGGAACAACTACTATTCCTACTGGCCCGGCGTGTTTCCCGGAGCAGTGCCATAAGTGCTAGCCACATTGCTACCAACTGGAGCGGAGGATCCCAACGCCTGCCCCATCGTAGGCGGGATCTTCTCGGTCACCTTCTTATTACGACACTTGAATTGGTTATGGCCATATTGGCCACAACGGATACAAGCTTGCCTTGTGTACCAATCTCTCCACACGTCCTCAGTGAGACCCGCTTTCTCCCATGGAGGAGCATTGGGGTCAACTTGACTCCTTGACCGGGAACCTCCACGGCGTCTACCGGTCGCCTTACCTTTTTGTGCCATGGCAGCAACTACTCCACCCCCTGAATCTTCTATGCTGCCAGCCTTTGAACCTACTCCCTCCTGGAAGTTGTCATCTAATTCGATGGTTGAACCATCGTTATTGACAAACATAATGCGACCCTTCGCCTTCCAGTTGGGAGGCAGTGTCTTCTTCCTACCATCCGTCGTGGGGTTATGTCCATGCCCTATCTTTGTTTCTAGGTCTAGGGCCTTCTTGCTGAACGAGGGAAAGTTATGCATATTGATGTTGGCCTCACCTGCCAACTGATTCCTGAGATGCATGGGAAAGCATCTCAGGTAGGAGGTGAGTAATACCTGGGGGTCATAGCGAACCCCAGGGACACAAATCAGACACTCTACAGCGTCAGCGGCCTCCCTTACTGACTGGAACTGCCTCGTGTGTAGTGTCAGGATCGCGTCAGTGGCCTTTTGGGCCTCCTGAGGATCGTGCCACCTGTCTTCCACCAACTTGAGAAAGTCATCCCGTTTCTGGGTGACCTCCCAAGCGAGAAAGTCATGACCATACCCTTGGAGTTGTACTAAACCACTCAACCATCGTGCTGCACTCCCCTCTAAATAGGAGGCAGCCACAAACACTTCATCGTGCGGCAAGGTAAGTTTGCACTTGACATAGACTGGCATTGCCCTCAACCAAGTGTCGAGGTCTTCGCCCCTCTTATCCCCTGTGAAGGGTTTAGGAGTGGCGATGGCCGTCTTTGGTACCCACTGACTTTGTCCCGGTCCCTGCATCACTCCGGGCTGTGGACCCAGTGGTGCAGGCTGCTGCACTGACTGCTGGGGCTGTGTACCCTGCAGCTGTGCAGGCTGCGAGACAGCAGGCTGCACGCTTACGGCAAACTGCGACGGAGGTTGGGTGAACACTGTCTGTACAGGAATCTGTAAACTAGGACCTGTTGAGAACCCTTCTGTTAGCGGTATGCCTAAGGAAACAGTCTGGACCGATGCTAGAGATGTGTATGGGGATACTCCAGTCACCGGTGGGACAAAAGGAGGAGGATGTACAACGGGCCACGCACCAGGCCCGGACGGTGATGGTGCCGCCTGCATTTGCCCGACTAACACAACCAGACTCTGTTGGATGTCCTGTAAGATCTCCATTTGGTGATCTTGCATCTCTACTACGCTTAACAAGACCGACCGTATGGTCCTTACATCATCCTCCATCTCTGCAGGGACCATCTCCTCTAACTCACTGACGTCCGCTTGTCTCCGCTGCATTCTGGCTCTTGTTCTAATCATTCTCTCTTTCTCTGCCTTAATCTCCCCTAAAGCCTGCTATAGCTGTGCCTCGCGATCAGCAGCTCGCTGTATGGCGAGTCGTTGGCGACCTCCTCGGGAGTCATCACTAGGGGCTGGCTTGCCATAACGCCAGTAGACTGACTCTGGGTCTGTGCGACCGTTGACCCTACAGACCCTGAACTGCTAGCCTGGGAACTCTGCTGCGCAGAGGTGGCCATGGCTGCTGAAGCTGCGGCTTCGCTTACGAACGCCTTGCTGGCCTCTGCTTCCCTAGCTCTCCTCTGCTGCTGCTGCCTCTCCCTACGCTGGCGGAACAGGTATTTGTCGCCCTCTGGTCCTAATGCCAAATGGGCAATCGGGCGTCTAACCGATCGCAAGAGACGGTCATCCGGTTGTGGAACCTCCCTGTTACTCATAAGCTACAACACTGAGCACAACCTGCACTAGGCTACTCTAGGTACCTACCACAACATAGTGCTAAGACCAATTTAAAATAAATAAATAATTAATTGGTGACTATTTCGGAGTAGATACATTTGGGTCCAACAGGTAAGTGCAGATTCCTACAAATGATACTATCCTATTTTGACTGGCTAGCAAACAGAAAGCACAATGAACAATAAAAGTTATAAACTATGCTTTCTGTCAGATGTAAATGGTCGTCCATCTAACTAATCAAAAATAAAAATAATATCATCTATTGGGTCTGTTCACAGCATGGAATCTTTCTCAAACTTATCACCTGGAATCTACCCAATTCCCCTTGATTGTCACTTGATGTCAGCGTCCCTGAGCGATCCGGTAGCGTGCGTGACTAAAGGTGTGCACACGGCCCACCCCTGTGCCCCGAGTAGCTGCTGAGTTGGCCAGCCCTGCACAGTGTTTACCCTCACGTGCGGCGAGCCTTACACCAACTGGCTGATCAAGAGGCTATTTAATGACCGCCCCCAAGTGTCATCAGGAATTATTTTACATCGCAGCAGGACGACGATCACAACCAGTGGTTTCCCCTACCATTGTTTATTTATAGACGCTCGGTACTTGTCTCCCCCATAGAGCTGGCCTGCCCTTCAGTACCCCTTCTATGAGCGCAGCAAGCGGACGAGGACAAAGCAGCAAAGCATGCGTGCTCTACTCCCGGTGGGTTGGCATGGTGACCGTGACCCAGTTCTCCGTCCAGGGTCCTTCAGAAAGCACCGCCCTCTCCTTCCAGATGCTCCACAAGAACAATTCCGACTCTCAAGGTTGAGCGCACACGACACCTCACAATGAGAGGACTCTCAAGAAGGAACTCACAACCTCACGGTAAGAAGTGATGAAGAGGGTAGATAAAGTTAAGAGCAACGTACCTCATTATAGCTGCCCCCAACCACAGATATTCTCACCAGATGACCTGATGACGATTGCGATGACCAGTCATTGCATCGGCACAACCAGCATTATCTCGCCGTTCCACCTCAGCATCAATCAACCACCAGATAGTTCTCATCACACTGCAAACACCCAATATACACACCGTAGCCTTCCTGGCGATCCCCTCTCCTCCTGGGTCGCCACACCTTGTCTCCGCCCTCCTCACTACACACCCCCTACGGCCTCACTCACCAAGCAGACCGTATGTATGTACCACATAGGCAGAAGACAAGCGCCAGATGAGCGCAACGTACCACAACTCCGATACCAAATTGCAAGGAAGATGAGCAATAGCGAACTTCAGCAATCAAACAGCATTATACACATAAGACCAGATAGTCGTGACCTCGAACCAACAGCAGAATTGCATTACGAGTTTCACCAAATAAGAACACACCAAGAGCTCATAATTGACAATGCTGAAATAGTCTTATCATCATCATCAACGAAGAACCAATGTTGATATCCTATCTGGCGCTCGGCACCCAGTCTATAGATGGCAGATCCTATCTAGCCTAGACTACAATGCCGAAGATGATGTCAACAGCTTCACCGAAGTACGAGCAGATCTCGGACAATGTCGTCGCTTCTAGCACCAGGTATGTCTCTCGTATCACTCTCAACCTCGTTCCACAACACACAGATGCCACATGCACCCAAGGACCACCCTGCGCCACACCCAGCTCACAGCGGAGCAGCTCGGCTATGGCTGCCCGCCCCGTCCTGCTCGCCCGTGAGCGCGTGAGTGCCAGCCAGCTTCAGCGCAGCATGCAGCCAGCACCCGAATGTCGAATGCGGAGGCAGACCCTTTGCTATATGGAAGTGGCCTGCCTGTGTTCTGTCCCAGGCTGCACTGGGCCTTTCCCAAGAAGCTTCCTGTAGGCCCCGGTAGGCTGAGGCCCAGACCAAACGAATTGGCCCAGTGCTGCCGACAGTTACCTGTGCCCAACTGCCCACAATCTGAGTTGGGCCTATGTTGCGAATCTCGCCCAGGGCCTGACTCAGATGCATTTGATAAAGGAAGCCAGGGCCTGGGTGCTTCCAACCAACTGGCGCAGTGCAACTGCCTGAATTTCCCCAGTTGCGAAGTAGTCCAAAATAGGCCTCTGAGGGTATGTCGGGTCTGCCTTCACTTAGGGCGGCCGACGCTGTTGCAAATAGGGCCCAGTAGGGCTTATCGAGGCCTTGTGCCTCGCATTCCCTCCTCCGTACTTCGCTAGTCCTCTGAGAAGTTCAGTCTTCGATAGTCTTACCTTTCTGTCGTTGGGACAGGGAGAGGAGAGGGAGCTGCGGAGAGAAGGTGAGAGACGGCATTTGCGGCTCGCTCAGAGGGCAGCAGCAGCAGCAGAACAGGCTATAGCAATCACATCTGCTGCGACACACCCTTTAGCAACCATAGCAGCAATGGCCACGCAGAGTCAGCAGACACAGGTCTCGATGCAGTCTCTTCAGGTAGGTGCTACTCAGAGCACTGCTTCTAGCCAGATGGCGGGGGACGCAGACAAGAACAAGCTACAGGGATTGGATGACTGTGGATTCACCGATGGGTAGAAAGCCCTGCGGGCTTGTGCTTTAGGCATATATAGTCCTTATCTGTGCGGGAGAGCAAGATGGACTCTCTCCTTTTTGGCCAGGACCAGATACTGACAGTGGCTAGGAATCTGGGAAGACCAATTCCTTCTTCTCGGACACAGCCAGTAGTCAGACCTCTTAGGCAGCCTGCAACTGTCTTACAACAGGGTCCAGTAATGGTGCTGCCACCGGTCTCAAGTTCCTTCAGTCCCATGTTTGGTATCCGTCCATCAGGTGAACAGCTAGCAGGTAGTGTTCAGGCTCAGGTTCGGCCTTCTTTTTCTTCGCAGGCAACTGCTGCTAGAGGGCAACCTCAGCCTCTGCAACCTGCAGTGCAGGCTGCTGGTGGAGGACAGTCCCAATGGGTTCCAAAGACGGTGATAGCACAGCCAAAGAGCTCTTCTGGCGATAGGAAGGACTAGAACCTCAATACATGGTTGAGGACAGTGCCAACGTACGTGAGGAACAAGGACACGCGCTCGAAAAAGGAAGTGATCATTGTGGCATCCTTCTTGAAGGGCTCTGCAGCACAGTGGTTAGACGGGGTAGTACAATCAGACCAGTACGACAGGGATTTTGATTCGCGGCAAGGGCCAAGCCTCTGGATCAGTTTTTGACGTTGGTAGAGGAGAGGTGGCATGGCCATCAGACACACTTAAGAACTTAGATCTGAAAAGATAAAACTTCATTAAAGTCTGTGCGCAACGTTACGAATGTTGTAGAGAAAGCTGTCGTAGTTCCCAGGGTTAGGTACTACCCACAAATTCTGTTAATGACTTACCTTAGGTGCTTACCGACGAACGTTAATGTTACCAATGTTGTAGAGAAAGTTGTCGTAGTTCCCATAGTTAGGAACTACCCACAAATTCTGTTAACGACTTACCTTAGGTGTTCACCGACGGACATTAGGAATTTGTTAGTCAACGAGGCCACCATAGATAGGAACGATTTATCTTCCTTTAGCAGAATGGCTTTGGACCATACTTGCGGCACATCGACATGCGCTGCACCCCGCACGGGGTGTGGCGCACCCCGAAAATAGGGGGTCGACCAAAAAAAAAAAAGTTGCCGAGGGGTGTTCTAGGCCCAGCTGGGATGTCGCGCCACGAAACAAAAAGAAAACAACAACAACATTTTGAGGCCGCGCGGGGCCTCGGAAAAAAAAAAGGGGGGGCAGCTGAAGTAAGTTTGTTTTTGAAGTTTTGAATTCGGAATGCTGCCCCTCGCTGCCTGGATGAACCCCGGTAGTCCAGCTTTGTGCCCTTC